GCAAGCTTACAAGCGTTGAATGTTGTCGGAAGGTTGGAAAATAGTTGTTATTGACAGATTCCATAAAAATCATTAACCCTAGTATATTTAGCAGCTGATAGCAGCGGTTTGAAGCATGAAACATTCGGCGTCGACCAGTCTTGTTTTCCGATACGCCACGCGTTCGACAAACGTTTACAATCGTCGAGGCATTTGAATGCGATTTGGTCCATACAAGGAAAAGAGATGATGATTCTATTTGAAAGTGAACTTTTCTCGCTCAAGTCATGTCTAATACCAACGAATAGATCCCAGATGGATGAAAGGTTTGGGAGGCATAGATGAAAAATTGGGCGCTACTCCAAGGCGTAACGATCTAATGGCAACTGTCAGCTTCTCCACATTTTGACTCCTGGTAGAAACTCGGTTATAAATCACCGTCTGGGCTGAATAAGAGCTCTGATGCGCCAAGGTTTCGCTAAACCTATATCTCACTTCTTAGACCGTGAGACCACCAGAATCACTGACGTACACGCCACCTGGCCTACAGAACTCGCTCCTAAAAGCCAGATAGGCAGGCATCCAAATAGACCCACATATACCCCCTTTCAAAAAGAGAAGAGCGTCGGGTGCAGACCATACACCACAAGTGACGACGGCCTCCACAAAATGTAAATGTTTTCTGCCAATGCCTGTTGCAGTTGTATTCTATCAGTTCAGTTGTCACTAATTACAACTATCATTTACCAAAATCAGCTATCACTATGAACCACTACTAACCAGATTTACTTGGAGGCCGTCGTCACTTGTGGTGTATGGTCTGCACCCGACGCTCTTCTCGTTTTTTGAAAGGGGGAGGGAGGGTATGTACAAAAACGGCTGGAAGTCGAAAGCGCGGCGCATTCTTTGAAGGGATTGATATTCAATAGAGGAAACCCTTATGTGAACGCATTATCCAAAACGAAGAAATGCGACTCGTTTACACCTTTTCTAACGAATTTTATTACTTACCTTTACCTAACTTTATGCCTTTAATCATTTTGAAGGGCGGAAGTGGTGTAGTGGCAAGTGGCACGCTTACCACGCGAGCGGTCCGGGGATCAAATCCTGGGTCGTGAGTCGCCCGGGCCAACCAAGCCTTCCATCCCTCCGGGGTTGGTACCAGACTTGTCTGGGAGGATAAAAACACTGACTTGTACATCGGCTGGCCCCCGCAAGTCATTGTATAGGCCACATCGCATTCAAACGCCACTACGAATGTACAAATGGAAGTAGAATGCGTGCCGCATCCCAAAAAGGGATTGATCAACGGCAAATGCTTTATCCTTTATCCTTAATATTTTTGAATAGTGGTCCAAGTGTTGCTCATCAAAATGGGGAGCTACTTAAAGCCACACTTGAATAGAAAGTTTTAAAGAACATCCTTACCATTGGGGGTCTATTTCAGTGAGATGAAATGAGTCCTTTGCATAAGCTTCACCGTACCCTCCCTCTTTGCCCGAATGCAATAAAAATGTCTGCAAATTTACATTCTAACAGATGACATAAACACGTACATAGTCAAACTACTCAGAAACTCTTCCACCAACTTCTAGATGCGCTCATCACTCGAATCCCATCTAGGAACTAAACAATGGCGCTGTTTAGTGGACCACCACTTCGAGATAGCAGTTATGCAATATAAAAAGTCATAGTAATTCATGCCGAGAAAACGCTCTCCAACAGAGCAATGTAAATGTTCGAAGAATGGGTGAAAACAGTGAGGGGGATAAGTGTTTGAACCGAAGTGAAATGAACGAAATGGGGACAAAGTCTGGTCAGTGTCTCCTACGCGCGGAGAAAAACGCGACCTATTTTAGGAACTGTTTTGTGACATGAAGAGCGAGAAGTGGGCTCTCCACGGTGACGGGTGGTCAGCGTCCGACTACAAATGAAGACTGGAATGGAAATCGTACAAAATGAGGATATCGCTCACCGCTTGCTGTTCTTCAAGAGAACTATGAATGCGTCCAAAATGTGGGAAAATAACCCTTAAAGGTCAAGATGACTTGTGACGGGTTTCAGTAGCATACAGTAGATAGGGCGAGAAGAGCAGGATAACCCGTTTTTGGATCATTCTTGAAAAGAGGACCCAAGAAAACTACCAGGGTCGTACTACCAGGGTCCGCGGTTCGCATTTGACTATTTCGGGTTTTCGTGACCCTTCGCTGCAGTTGGCTCACGACAGACGATCACCCTCGACAGAGTTTCCTTTACAAACCCTCGGGAGATCCCACGCGTGACCCCTCGAAATTCACAAGAAATGACGTGTTCGATCGAAGCAGACGCAGGGTTATCCGTCCATTGCAAGCGATTGAGAAGCATAGATTGTTCTGTGGGAACAAATAAGTTTTAATGTACGAAAATGCGTTCACATAATTAACCGTTGCCTAGTTTCCGTTTTCATTTAAGGTGCCTGTAAAAGTGAGCTGTAGCTTTCATTTTCTTTTTTTTCTTTTTCTGTTACTTTTTCCTCATGCATGCCCCCTGAACGCGACACGCCAGCGTTCGTTCATCAGAGACCGATCTAAGGTGATATCGCGTGTGAGCATATTTAACGAGCTCATCCGCCATCACAACACCTTACTCAGTCATCTTATCCTGGCGTGTGCTAAAATGGTGAGCAATTTGCCTATTCGGTTAAAATTTATATAGGAAATCCTAATTTTCATAGACTTTCTCTCGAATAAGCGAACGAATTAAAGAGTTTCATATAGCGTTAAGGTTGTTTGTAGCACAGCTTCTCCTCATGCGAGGCTTCAACTTCTTCTTTTTAGTTTGGTTTCATTCACGAGAGTATTCGTCAGCTGATGCTCCGCAAGTACAGTCAGGAGCTTTGGCAGGAAGTACTGTGAGTTCTGGTCTTTGAAATGCACAATTCAGCAGTTAAGCAGGCTAGGGAGAATCAGCAGTACGGAGTGCTCTTTAGGGATATGAAAAGTTGCTCGTAAGGGACTACGGAGCTGTTGGCGGAGTAGACGAGCGTAGAGGCTTATAGTGTATATGAGAATATGCCATTTCACTCTTCTGCGTTCCATATTATATCAGTCTTAGGAAAGTCCCGGCCAGCACACGTTCTTTAGTTGACCTCAAGACCCATAGGGCTAGAAATTTAACGCGATCATAATCGTTCGTCCGAAGTTCTGAGCCGCTTCTCATGGCTCTATCCTTCTCGCCTGCACCAGCTGATACCCTCGACCCTTATTTTTAATTAGCTGCCTTTCCTAAGGAAGGAAAGTTTAAGAAAGTCTTCGTCTCCCTTGGCAATTTCCTCATTCGACGAGCCTCAACAGGCTGACGTGAACGTTCTGTTCCACCTCTCTGCTAAAGCAGCTAGAGTCCAACGCCGAGCGACTGGTGGATCATAAGAGGTGGCCACAGCCATGGGGGTTATCAGAAGGAAGGATAAAGTTTTGTTGAGTAGCTCTATGGAAACTCCCTTTACTGCGGAAGGCGTCACTTTGTCGCCTCATTATACGCGGCTCTCCTTTACCAGCGACCAATCCACCTTTCTCGAACATCCAATTATGATGTCACCTCCCCTTAAAACAGTCGAGAGTCGCATCCCTCTGATATAGGCCTTAGGACCAGATAAAAAGACTGTTTTATAAATTTGCTGACTTCTACAGCTCACCCCAGCCGCAGCTTTTGAACGAAATTGCGTTGAGGAGCATCTTAAAGGACGAATTCACGCTGGAAAGCAACCCATTTCAAATTAACTAGGGATGGTGAGTGGTACACGAAAGAAGGAAGAACCATGAGAAACGGCCCAGAACCCGAGAAATGGGACCCCTTCCTTCCCCGCTGATTTGCGCATTGATGCGACTCTTATCGCTGTGCCCTCCTCAACATCACGCTCTCTCTGCTATCTAATCAATCCCACGTATAGATCTGCGGCGAGTGATCAGCTGGTCGGTGGGCGGAGATCGCCAGACCCGCCAACTTTGAGGCATAATAGGTCGCCGAGGTCAAATTTTTCGATGCGAATTGCGCATCAGTTCGCACCCTCAGGAGGTCCGTGGGTTACTCAACTAGGTGAATTACTTCTTCCTCGACCTCCATTCTAATCGTAAAATCCTCCTTTAAGAAGGTTTTTACTTGTTCAGATTTTACTTATCGGAGATGTAGTCAACTATTTAGTGTTGCATTCTGTTATTTGCCGTTTTATTTCCGGTAATAAATCGTAATCGTAAATCGTAATAATGTTGAAATTGACATATTTATTTACTCATTCAGTAGCACTGAAAAGGCTTGGTGTAGGTTCTTCCCAAGGAAAAGTTGCACCATGAGAAATTCCGCGTCCTGCAGTATCACTACGCCCGTGAGCCAGTAAAACCGCTCTATCAGTCTACATGGTTTGTATGATAATCTCGCCCAGCCAAGTAAGCCCCCACTCAACACAAGTTGCAGTGTACGCAAAATTTGCAATCAATTAGCTAGCGATACCCAAATGCAAATGGAATGCGTGGCGCATTCCCAAACAAGATTGGCTATCTTGCAGCGACTCTTTCGCGCTGGGCGAGATCTCCAGAATTATTCTGAGCACGCCTTTTTGAAGCAAGTGAATACATCAACTTGCTATGAATGGTCCAATTCAATCACTTTCTTCTGCAAATTTCACACTTCAAAATATTTTTTACCTCAATTTCAGAACCCGTTCTGGTTTCGAAAGCGGCAAGGAGAATATCATTAATCACTACTATTCGGATGCCGACACATATATGCTGGTGGACAGTGTCGCAGTGCTCACAAGTGAGCTAGACCGTTTTGATACTCAGCGTTTAGGGAGAATCAGAGAATCGGGGAAGAGAAGTACTGACCAGGAGAGTAGGAAAATGAAAGGATATAAAAAAACAGAACCCACGGAAAAATCTGGCGGCGTATCAGGGTCATCTGCCCGTTCGTAAAATCCTGGCGGAAGTGAGGCATGGCAGGTCGGGGGAGCAAGCGGATTTGTGCAAGCTGAAGATGTTGCGGTTGTATCATGAGGGGGTCATTTTTTGGGGCTTGGAGTAGACGGCGTTTTTGAGGAAATTTTGGGGCAAAACTGGAGTGTATCACCTGGCATCACAATCAGATCTCATAGGAACAGTGATTGCTGTGGATCGGTGGTGAGAATTTGTAAGGGAATCTCCGCGAGAGGGGGAGGAAAGGGGGGGGGGACTCGTGAACTGTTTGCCAGCCTACCGCGACGATAGTTTTTCGGGGTTTGTTCAATCCCCTAGACTTCTATTCTCTCAAAACGCCTGGTATAAATGCGGCTCAAGATGTTCAGCTTCTGAGAGATCAATTGCCTTTCCAGAAATGTCACGTGAGCAAGTTTGGGAGCTTTACGGGTCATTTCTCATCGAATACACCATGGAAATCGGATGGGATGAACTTATTCGGAATATGAGTCCAGACTTAAAGGTAAGGTCATCGATTTTATGGATAAGCCTTCAAAAAGCCTACAGTAAAAAAAAAACATAAAAAGCACCAGGGTAGCTACTGTCAGCGCCCGGAAGTGCATATTCCTGTATTCAGCGGAGAGTATTTGTTGTCCATTTGGCCAGTGGGCGTGGCTTGACATAGGTGGGCGTGGATTACCACTAGCATGACGTTGCTCTTGTGGACTTGACACCTTTCCTCCATTTTAGGAAACTCCAGCTAACGTTTTCAGAAGATAAAATTTCTTTTTCAACATACTTTTAGTTCACATTTGTTAAAATTTTTTTTAGTGGAAGGGGGGCGGGCAGGTACCTTTGTGTCCGACAGCAGGGTGAAGGTGTACTCAGACTAGCACCATACCTTACGGCATTTAAAAGATCACTAATCGGCCTTCTTCGATCCACACACTTCCTACAGTACCTAATTCTGTAGGATCACGGGTAGCGGAAACCTTAAAAAATTAGGTGTCAGTATGCAATTTCGCAATGCTGTTACTACTTATGCGCACTTTAGTATGGGCGTTTAAGTCATGCACGTATGCGACTGCACCCAGAGCTGGACACAAATTACTGGGGCGTGAACCAATCCTCTATCATTCTACTAAATTTTCAGGGTTTCCTCGACAACCTGGACTCATTGCACTACTTCATTGACCACGTCGTCTACAAGGCAAATCTCCGTGGCCGTCATTCCGTTGTGAACAGAACGCCGATGGGACCATCACATTGCATTATTTTACTGGTCGTCCCGGACTCTATCCAATTGTCAGAGGTGGGTCGAGTCCCCTACCACTGACAGTAAATTCCGATTTTACATAATATCGATTGGATGACAACAAGGCATGCGCTCACGCGCGTCCTTTCCTTCCTTGTCACTAATCAATAAACGGACTTTAGGCGTTCTTCGCGAGGTCGCTCGTCGCATATTTAACATTGACGTCAATCTGAGTGTGACAGGACGTACTCAACGCACTGTGCAAATGATGTCTGGGGAGAGAACTGAAGAGCATGTGATATTCCTAATCAAGGTTCCCCTTATCAGTTGTTCTAATCAATAAGATAATGTAAGAGCTCTTGAAATTACAGACAGTTGATCAAGGACATGGCGCGTCAAATGTTACCCCATCCATCGGGATTCCAACCCTAGGTTTGTGGCCACCATTTCTGTTTAGTAATTTGTGAACAGTCGATAAATTTAGATTTTTCCAACCAAACGCTACACATGAATGCACTAGAATTTGGTGCAGCTTTACCATATCACATAATATTTGATGAACACTGTCGGCTCATCAACATGGGAAGGAGTTGGCGTCAGTTTTTTGTTGCTATTGTTGTTGTCGTTGATAGTGGTCCTTAGGTTTCATCGGCTAAATGTCTGCTTTTCAGTAGCCATGTACCAAAAGAGCTTCTCGTCAAAGGAACGCCAATAATGCGCATTTTCGAAGTGAATAGGTACGACTTGCAGCTTTTACCTGATTTGGTATTTTTTTCATGTTTTCTGAAATTTTCTACATTCTCTAAAATACTCATAGTGCAAGAAATTCACAAATTTTGCCTCCACGGAATCACCAATGTTTGGTGGAGGTGGTGTTGCCATAATGCGAGTATTCTAAAGCCTAAAGGAGGATTCCACGATAAAGTTGAAGGTCGAAGAAGGGGAAACTTACCTAGTATAAAGACAGGCGGACCCTAAGGGTGCGGAACCGACACGCAATTCGCAGCGAAGGATATGCCCCGGCGATCTAGCATGGCCCTCCCCGCGGCGCTATCGGCGCGGTACGCCCACCGACTTACTCGCTGCAGGTCTCTAGCCGTTTAGCAGAGAGAGCGTTAGCGTTGAAGAGGGCAGCACCGATGAGAATCACATCAATGGGTGAGGAGGGGGACCATTTCCCCACCCTCAACCTTTGCGAGATTTTAGTCTTTTTTCATGGTTATGTAATCAAATTACGGACCCTGAACCTTGGAGACTGATCAACACCGAATCCTTTTTCGTCCTGCCCGAATTTTTCGTAATGTCCTCTCCGCTTAGCGTTTGAGTTGAAAGCGAAGTTCCAACACTATAATTATAACTACTCTGTGCAAATTCAAAGCCACATTCAGTGGTCATCTGCTGGCGTTGTCCACGCACAATGAAATACCGGAGATACCGTATCCAAGCCG